CCCTGGAAAGACTGTGCACTGGTTCTGCGCTGAGCACAGAAATCCAAGTCTGTCCCACAGAGAAAAGAGAGCCTGCTTCTCACATCACACAAAGGCCTCTGTTTTGCCCGTGACCTCCACAGTCACCCTCCTCGGCCTTTCTTGTCCACTCAGCTAACTTCTTTATTTTGTGTCTGTCCACGCCATGCCTGCTGCTGATGTGCCCAGTGTGAGGATCCTGTCTGCTTCCCAATGTGAGGCTCTCCTGTTCCAACCACAGAGTTACAGGACTCCCAGACCCCCATCTGCAGCTCACCAGGTCACAAATCCCAGTGTGAATCCTTACAGGAAGCCAAAGAAAGGAGTTTCATCCCCCACCTTGGGACGCAGCTCCCTTTGGTCTTGCAGCCCTGAGGCCCCGAGGCCTATGTGCATGGTCACTGGCCTCCTCCTGCCTTGGGCCCATCCTGAGGCCCTGTCTTGGTTACCCGCTTTGAGAACCAACTCCAAATGCCCAGCCCCCTTGTCTTGCTCTTGTTCCTGATTTGCTCTGAGGCCCTGCTGCTGGGGTACAGACATCCCTGGGCCCCCTAAACTCCTGAAGATCACCTTCTCCAGAGCCCCAGAAGGTAGGCTAAGCCCACCTGGTGTGACACCTGACTCCATACCCTGTTCCTCTATCCACTCACCTTAGCCATGGACCTCCTATCCCTTGTCTTCTGGTCTTGATCACCCCCAGCACAGTCTACCTTGCCTGCCTCTCCCCCAGTTAAAAGTCTCCCTCAGTTTGCTCCCTGCAGTGGGATGACCCTAAATATTCCCCAAACTACTCCTTGTCAAGCATTTCTAGGGCCCCAGAGTAGATCTGAAAGAGACTTTTAACTCTTGCCCTAAGACACAATGTTCCTTTTCTTATATCCCTGTGTTCAAATTATGTATCATCCAACAAACTGTTTTTTAAAAATCTGATCCGTGCTGGCTTCTATTTTATGCACTCGGGTCGAAGCAATGAAAAAAACAGAGAGGAACCTCTTCCCTCAGGCGTTTGCACTTCAGTGAAAGCCCACCAGACATGGAGTCAAACTCCAAAACGAGAACTTCCTCTGCCTGTCCGGAGGCCTCTCCACTTACCAAGTGGAGTCAACCTTTCTGGTATTGTCATCTTGAATCTTGAAGCATCGAGCTCCATCAGTGTCTCCCTCCAAGGTCCACTCCTGTTCCAGCTGTTGCTCCCCATGGTTTCCCCTTGAAGGGAGGAACAGTTGTGCCCCCTTTGGCTCCTCCAATATCTCCATTGCTTTTCCTTCCCCCTCCCTGCTGCCTCCTCCTCTTCCTGGGTCAGATTCACTAGTCAGCCCTTTTACCCCTGAGGAACGTCCTCTGTCCCCTCTCCAGTAACCCACCCCTCTTTTGTTCTGTCTCATCAGCAAGGCGAGCCTGCACTGCTCTCCATGCAGATTTTCTCCTCCCCAGAGGCTGCCACTGCAGTCCACAATGACAGGGGAGCCGAACATTTCCCAGTCAGTCGCCAGCCCTCAGCAGAGCTTGGCCTGGGGCCCATGCAAGCATCTCAGGAGAGGAAAATCAACTTTCCTGGACCCAGCCCTGGCTTTCCAGTGAGATCCCACAGCCTCCGCAGGCTGCTGGCATCCACTCTGGAAAGGACATATGGGTGGTAAACAGACTGTGTGTGCCCTGAAGCCTCCACAGGGCAAAGGCCTGGCCCTTGCCATAGGAGCAGATCTGATGCATACACACTGGTTCTGGTGCATAACCACCCAGAACATGGTGTAGAGGAGCCTGGGCCTTCGGGACCCCTGAGTCACAGAGCAGCCAAAGAACTCCCAAGGGCTCTGAAGGTGGGACAGGGACGGGGACCTGCAGTGCCATGGTACCACTGCCTCTTCCCTCCCATACAAGGAGCTCTTCTGTATGGCCTGGCGCCTCAGGTTCCTATGGCCCTGGCATAGACAATAAGAAATAGTCTGCCTCGCTTCTTTTGCCCCCAGTAAGCACTCAAAATGAGAGTCGTCCATTCTCCTAGGCCAAGCAACTAGGCAGATACCAGCTCACAGGTGAGTGGAGGCTCATACCAGCCTGCCCTGACTGCCAGCTTCACCAGAGTCTGGGCACTCTTAGGCCCCTCCATTATGCCGGGGGTCCTCCAGACCTAATTTTGGACTATCACTAGCACCCAGCCACCCTCTCCAGCGGGCTGAGACCCCATGTGAGTGAGGACAGGCTGTGATGAGAAGGGAGTGGCACTCCCAGTCAGGCAGAGAGCACCCTGCAAGTGAGCACATTTGGTCAAGACAAAGAAGGGCTGCTACAGAAATCTAAGTGGATATCTGACACTGGGGCAGTGGAACTCCACCCCTTTGGAAGATGATTGAATCCTCCCTCACCAGGTTTCTTCTTCCCGGATTAGAAGAGTTTTAAAGTCAACAACAGAGGCTAGTTCTGGAGCAAACCAGCCCTAAGCTACAGTGACCCTGAAACAGAAGCTATGAAGGCAGGAGCTCATACCTGTAATCCCAGCAATTTGGGAGGTTGAGGTAGGAGGATCATTAGAGGCCAGGAGTTTGAGGCTGCAGTGAGCTATGATCATGCCATTGCACTCCAGCCTGGGCAACAGGACAAGACTCTGTCAAGAAGAAAGAAGAAAGAAGGAAGAAGGAGGAGAAGGAGGAGGAAGAGGAGGAGGAGGAAGGGGGGAGGGGGAAGAGGAGGAGGGGGAGGAACAGCAGCAGCAGCAGCAGCAAGAAGAGAACAGCATCTTTAGAAAACCAGCTATTCTGGGATAAGAAAAGCAGCAAAAAATGATGATAACCTCATTATCCTTGGAACCTATTAAGACTCTAACCAGATCATAGCTGCCAAGAGAGGGGGTTAATGGTATTCAGAAGTTACAATTGAGGTGATGGCAGCTGGAATATTAGCAGGACCTTCCAAAGAAGGCAGAAGAAGAATTTAAGAGGCGGTGGTGAGCAGGCATCATCTTTCCTAGAGATCAACACCAAAAAGATTACGATACAGACCTAGGAGGGAGAGAGTCCAGCTTCCAGATTCCAGACTGGGGGCCGGGAGGGTACATAATTCTAAGAGCCCTATCAGTCCTTCCCTGAAACAGAGAGAATTCACCTACAGAAATGCAAGGAAGGGAGGGTCTAGCCACCCCTCCCCCCAATATCCACTCTCACCGTCTGCTGGCAACCCAACTTTGTGGACGCAAGCTCCGGCATCCATGGCAGGGTCAATTTTGCAAGGTGCTTACACCCCATGCCTCCCGGTGCTTTTGACACTCCCTGGAGGGACACTGCCAAGGCTCCTGGGAGCACAACAGGAGGCCCTTGGGCGCAATCCTGGAGCCAAGTTCAGCTGTTCCCCCAGCTGGAGCCCAGCCTCCTGACTGTGCACCCCAGCTGGCTCTAGGGACTTGGGGAGGGAGGCTTCCACTTCTCTTTGGAATAAGGGCCCTGGATTAGCAATATTTCCCAACTGTGATTTGAGGAACTCTGACCCCACTAGATGCTCCATGGCAAGAGGCTTCACTGGACAAATAATCCTGGGAAATGCTGCAACTCTGCCAACGCTCTCGGAGCTCTCTGTTCTCCTTAGCATAGTAGAGGCTTTGAGCAGCCTACAGTGAGGAGGAGAGGGAAAGCAGCTTAACTTTGGTGATGTTTTGTACTGGCCTCCACACATGAATTCTGTTCTATGTGCTTTATCTCAAACCCTCTAGGAAGGCACTATTGTAACCCCATTTCATAGAGCCATCCTCTGGGTGGTTCTGTGCTGCTCCTCTTGGCCCAGAGTCTCTCAAATGTCCCGTTCAAGCCTGGGACACTTGTCATGAGCACGGCTTTAGAAATTCTGGACAGGAGGACCTCTAAGACTAACTAGACGCTTTCCTCACACTGAGACGAGTACCATTAAATTAGTGGGGGGCAGGGGGAGGGGAAGAGACTGAGAGAGAGACCGAGAGAGAAAGAGAGCAAGAGAGACACACATCAAGACAGACACACACAGACATAGAGAGAGACACAGAGAGAGATGTGGAAAGACACTGAGACACACATACAGAGATACTGAGAGAGAGACTGAGACAGAGAGAGACACTGAGAGACAGAGACACAGACACAGAGACACTGAGAGACAGAGAAAACATGAGAGAGACACTGAGACACAGAGACACAGAGACACTGAGAGACAGAGACACAGACACAGAGACACTGAGAGACAGAGAGAACATGAGAGAGACACTGAGACACAGAGACACAGACACAGAGACACTGAGAGACAGAGAGAACATGAGAGAGACACTGAGAGACAGAGACACTGAGAGACAGAGAGAACATGAGAGAGACACTGAGAGACAGAGAGAACATGAGAGAGACACTGAGAGACAGAGACACAGAGACAGACATACACACAGAAAGAAGGTAGTAGGGAGAGGGGAGTGCAGCCACGGTTGTGAGGAGAACCGGCCGAGACAAGCTTTGTGAGTGAGCCGGTGCTTTGGAGGGGAGATGAAGGCGGCTTGAGTGGGGGATCTCAAACCCACCTGGGCCAAGCCAGATCCCCCTTGGAATGTGTTTCCATTCACAGGCTGAGGAGGGCAGTGGCCGTGCCTGTAAGAGAGGAACTCTCACGGAGGAAACAGGCAGATCCTCCTCACCCTCTGGCTCCTCATGGGCAGCTTGGCCTGGGTGAGGAGGATCCCCGAGTCCACCTGGGAAATCTCAGCCGCCTGCTAGAGAGGGCAGCTTTGGGGCTAGGGAAGTAGGAGAACTAGGGCCAGAATTGTAGGGGCAAGGGAGCGCGTGCTCAGTGACAGACCCAGGCTGAGTGTGAACGACCCATTCCCCTCCACCCCGCCCTTTCCTCCAAACCACTCACATGCCTGCCCCCCTCAGCCCTGAACACCCAGCCCCAGCCTGCACAGAAGACCTGCAGTCTGGGAGCAGGCAGGCTCAGAGCCCTGCAGGTGGCAGGTGGGGGGTTGGTTCTGTCCATCTTTGGATCCCCACCCCCAGCCCTGTCCGGGACATTTGTCCTCAAAGGAGCTTTATTTGGTCTTCTCTCCATTTCTGTGCAAGCCTAGTGAGAAGCCACTAGAGGAAGAGGAAGGCCAGCAAGAGGAAGCAACAGCCATCTGCTTGGACCTCATTTGAGAAGGGCTGAAATGGGCTACCTGTCCCCAGACTTCCCTCCCACGCAGTATGTCAGAGTCTGGCCACTAGGAGAAGGTCTGAGAACGTTAAGGTTTGAAGAGGCCCAAAAGCCTAGCCTTCCAGCAGAAGCCTCCATCCCTACAGGCTGTGGCAAAGAGGGCTGACCCCAGGTGGCAGCACGCGGGTCACATTTGTCTCACACGATTTGGCAACTGGTGAGTCTAAGCACTGTGGCCAAAGGGTTGGGAGTTCCCACTCAGAAGTAAGACTGCCGGGATCTAAATCCTGGTTCTGCCACTTCCTATCTGAAAAACACATGCCTCTGTTTCGTTCTCTATAAAACACAGCCCCATCACCAGGCTGAAGGCAGACTCTTTGGGGCAGATCCTTCACCAGCCCATCTTGCAGATGAGAAAACGGAGGTGAATGAGCCAGCACTGGGACCCCAGGTGCTTCACTCCAAGCACAGAGATCTTGCGGCTTCAGCAGGCCAACTTCCCTCCCCAGGGAAGGCTGGGAAACAGTAACCAGAGAAGCGGGCAGGAGGGACTCAGAACCCCGCCCGGCCCCCAGGAGGGTCTCTGCCGGGGTGCCAGGCTCAAAGCTGGCCAGTCCTGCCATTCCTCTTGCCTCTGGTTTTTCCGAATTCTGCCTCTCCCCCTGGAAAGCCATTGCAGGCAGGGCTCTCCCAAGCCTCGTTTACAAAATTATAAGCTTCCTTTGTCCCCAGTCTCCTCTGGTTACAATAACACTCATCGGCTCTCCAGAGCTTTCAGGGGCATGGAAAATGTGACTTCACTCCTCAAGGATTTCTGATTTAACAAAATGGCATTGGGGAAAGAAAATGAAAAAGAATGTCTCTGTCCATCCCTGATAGAAAAGGCAATAGGGCTCCAGCCTCTCAGCCCAGAGTCAGGGCCAAGAGCTCCCAGAGGGCCCAGAAGGCACAGACAGAGGACCCTCACTCCCTCTTGCACCCCACAGGCTGGAAATCAGCCTCTCTGGGTGGTGTCTAGGGGGAACAGGGAGGGAAAGGGTCACTGAAGACAGATGTCAAAGGCAGGAAATAAATACATTCTGTCTTGCCATTCCCCAGTTTGGCAACTTTATTATTCCTTACCTTCTTTATTCAGTCAGTCCATCAGTCACTTGTCCTAAGTGCTTAAAATGAGTGACTTTGGTGTCCAACCACCGGGGACAGTATTCTGGCTCTGCCATCTTTCCAAGCCTCAGTTTTCTCATCTGCAAAATAGAGACAATATAGTCTGGACCTTACAGGGCTGCTGTGAAAACTAATGAGATAACCTGTGCCAAGGACTTCACACCAGGCCAGCAGATCAGAAGCTCTTGAGACAGGGTAGCTCTTGGTGCTGTCATTCATCCCCGCAAACCTCTGCCAAGCAGAGCAAGGTGTCTGAGGCTGCACTGTTGGGAGTAGCCATCTCATGGCACCTGCAGTCTAGATACCCAGCCCTGGAGGCTCCTAGCTGGCCCATTACTTTAAGTCCTGAACACCAGGACTAGTCCAACAGGTAGACTCACAGGGTAAGGCGAAGGGCTTAGTGAGTGCTTGCTGCATACAAGACGCTGTGCAGGTGCTAGGGAAAATTCTGAAATAGCAACTATAAATCAAACTCCATGATTTCAGGTATATGAGAAATATAATTTTTTAAAAATTTCTTTAAATCAAGTTAAATCCATCTCTGAGCCCCCATCCCACCTGAGACAGGAAATTCGGTCCTGGTCATTAACGGAACCCACCCATCCTCTCTCTCACCAGCATCACTGGAAGGGGTGCATGCGTGGTCACTGGCCATTTGTCCCCAGTGGGGACAAATGAGATACCTGATGCAAGGCCACACAGTACCCAGGAGCCCAGGGGCTCTGCTGCTTCTGTGCCAACCAATGCCAGAGAAAGCTGGTCACAGACACATCACAGTCAGCCCTCTGAGGTCCTGCCCACCCTGGGCATTGCCAGGGAAAAGGGTGCTGTGCTTCCTGGACTCTTCCCTCAAAGGCACTCACATCTCAAGTAACTCAGGCTCCCCGAAAGGAAGAAAAAAGAAAAGAAAGCAATTCCTACTCCCCGGCCTGCAGCAGCAGACTCCCAAAGCAGGGCTCCCAAAGCAGGGCTCCCAAAGCAGGGCTCCCAAAGGAGCAGGCTGTTTACATGGGAGTTGGGGGCAGTGGACACAAAAATATAGGGATAACAGAAAATGAATCGTTGTATCTCAGAGATGGTCCCCTCTAAAGAGGTGACTTCCAGGGGCTCCTAACAAGACACTTGTACCTCCTCCACCTTCTACTCCTACCCCATCACCCACAGGCAGAGGAAGCAGCAAACCACGTGGTGACATTTCAGGTCTAACAAAAAGCCCTCCAGGAAGTAAATCAATCTCCCCAAAGCTTCCTGAACACCTACACTCTCCTTCCTCTAAGGCAGATGTCCTGGAGAGGTCTCTGTCAAAAGGGATCTGTTGACTTACCACTGTCACCTTGCTGAGGCCAGGGCAACAGGGAAGATAAGTGTTAACTGGGAAGCAATACTTATCCAATAAGGGAAATAGGTATTTATTTAGCATCTACTAGGTACCACCAGGTGATTTCACAAACATCTTACCTGCTCATCACAGCCATGCAAAATGAGTACTTCTTTCCATTATTGATAAGGAAACAAAGGTCCTGGGAAAGGGGCCAAGGTCACAGAGCTGTATTATGACAAAGCTGAGAACACTCAACCAATATTTAATAATAATACTATCACTTAGGGTACTATTATCATTCTCATTTTACAGAAGAGACTCTGAGGCACAGCAATTAAATGATCTGTAAGGGCCAAGAAGGCTGCCCCTGAGGCCTGAGCTATTTACCCCCTCATTTTTCTGCCTCTGCATGAGAAGCAACTGGTTGGAAAGTCCCACCAGTTCCGGGAATTCATGTTCTGCCCAGATTCCTGCAAATGAGTAGGGAAGCACTACCAAGGATTCTGGTGGCTTTGCATAGGACTTAAAGACTCACATTATTTTGAAATAAAGTTTTGCAAAGAATACAAATGCAAATATTTAGAAAGTAATTACAGAGTATTGCTTTGGGCAGCAAAAGACAAAAACCCCTACGTGCCTCACTGCCTTCTCCTACTCACCCCCCGCATCAATTCAAAGGCCTGGAATCCCTGCCTCTGTTCAATAAGCAGAGGTGGCTCTAAAGAGAGGACCCAACGTGCTCAGCGGTCGTGGATAAAGGAACACCAACAGCCAGAGACGGAAAGATCCCTTCGTCAGACAGATGAGAAAACTGAGGTCCGCGTGACGGAACAACTTGCCCAGGGTCAGGCACCTGCGTAGGCACCTGGCCATGTGCGTGTACACGCACGCAAGGACACGCACGCAAGGCCCCGCACGCTGGGGCTCTGGCCGGCACGGCCCTCACATGTCCTCACGCACGTATTCCGCGCATCGGTTCCCCCAGCGAGCCCCTGCCCGGGCCTCCGGAGCTGCTCACACGCAGGTGAAGACTGCCCCCTGGTGGGCGGGAGCCCTCTGGAGGTTTGCAGGGCCAACGTCCTGCGCCTGTAATCCCTGAAAGGGGCTCCTCTGGAATCATCCCCAGGCCCTGGGGTCAGGATCGAGGCTGCTCTGGGAACTGGGCTTACATGGGTGTGGGTTGGGACCTCTGGGGTCTTAGAACCAGGGAAATAATAAAGCAGGGGCTTGATGTTGCAACCGTGGAAGCTGATTGAAAATGGAGATGAGCAACAGGAAATTTTTGGGGGGTGCTTTCTAGAGATCAACACCTCTTCCAAGGAAGGGACACAAGCAGGGCTGGGCAGAGAGAGAACGCGGGCTGCAGCACAGTCACCTGAAGGCCGGGAGCACGGAAGTTAGGATGGCCCTCTGGGACTAACAGGTTTAGCAAATAAAAATACAGGATGCCCAGTTAAATTTGAATTTCAGATACATGTGAAAGTTTTTTGTATAAATATGTTCCATGGAAGGAGAGCAGGGTGTCTGTGCAAAAGCAGTGGGAGTTGGGGGTTGCAGTGGTGATGCAGACTGCTTACACATAGAGAGATGGAACAAACAGGTAGAACAGTCACCCACCACATTCATGGTTTCTGTGAATTAAACAAACTGTGGATTGAAAATATTGGGGGGAAAATGGTCGGTTACGACTGCACCAACCATGTACAGGCTTTTTTTTTCTTGTCATTATTTCCTAAACACTATAATATGACGATTATTTATGTAGCATTTACATTGTATTATGTATTACAAGTAATCTACAGGTTACAGGAGGATATGTGTAAGTTACATGCAAATACTACACCGTTTTGCATAAGGCATTTGAGCATCCATGGATTTTGGTATCTGAGGGAGTTCTGAAAAAAATCCCCCATGGATACTGGGGGACAATTATACTAGGGATAATAGAAGCCATGTTTCTCACTACTGGAAATGAGAGTAGGAAATACGGAAAAAAGAAAACAAGAATAAACCCAGTGGAATTTGAGATACTGGTGTGAGCTCAGTTTGCAATATATAGAGGTATAAAATACAGATATAAATGCATGAAAGACTATTATGGACTGCATGTTTGTATGTAGAACTACTGTGGACTGCATATTTGTATCCCTCTCCCAAATTCATACATTTAAAGCCTAACCCCCAATGGGATAATATTAGGAAGTTGAGCATTTGGAAGGCACTTAGGTTTAGATGAGGTATGAGGGTAGAGAACCCCATGATTGGACTGTATCTTTTAAGAAGAGAGAGAGACTAGAGCTTGCTCTCTCCACCATGTGGGGATACAGTGAGAAGATAGTCATCTGCAAACCAGGAAGTGGACTTTACCAGACATGGATTCTGCACCCTGATCTTGGACTTCCCAGCCTCCAGAATTGTAAGAAATGCATTTCTGTTGTTTAAGCCACCTAGTCTATGGTATCTTGTTATAGAAGCCCAGAGTAAGAAAATGACTCTAGATATAAAGTTGGAATGTGTGTGTGTATAGTTTGTTTGCTTGTATGTATATCTATATCTACATATGTAGATATATGAGGATATATGTAGCGATACATATATTCTCTATCTCTACTGAGAAGGTGTGGGGATAGCAACACCCTAATAACAATGACTACATTCCTTGGCTTCTAAATACTATTCTGTGATAAAAGAAACCAGAGCTCCTTGCAGAAATAGCCACTTCTAAGACCAGAGCTGAAAAAGTACTGTCAATTACTAAGTGACAGTGACAGTTATTACAACATCCAACTATGATTGTTGATTTCTCCCTTTAGTTGTTTCATTTTTTGCTTCATGTATCTTGAAGTGCTAGTATTAAATACATACACATTTATAATTGATATCTCTTCTCAAGGAATTGACCCCTTTATCATCTTCATTAGTCACTTTGGCCTGCCTAACAAAATGCCACAGACCTAGTGGCTTACACAACAGTTTACTTTGTTACTGTTCTGAAGACTGGAAAGTCCATGATCAAGGTGGCAACAGGGTTGGTTCTGGTGAAGCCTGTCTTCTCTCCTTGGCTTATAGATGGCCACCTTGTTGTGTCTTCATGTATTAGTCTGTTCTCACATTGCTAATAAAGACATACCTGAGACTGGGTAATTTCTAAAGGAAAGAGATTTAATGGACTCACAGTTTCACATGGCTTGGGAGGCCTCACAATCACACAATCATGGTGGAAAATAAATGAGGAACAGAGTCACATTTTACATGGCGGCAGACAAGAGAGCTTCTGCAGGGGATCTCCAATTTATAAAACCATCAGATCTCATAAGACTTATTCACTACCATGAGAACAATATGGCGGAAACCACCCCCATGATTCAATTATCTCCACCTGGCCCCACCTTTGACATGTTACAATTCAACGTGAGATTTGGGTGGGGACACAGCCAGACCATATCACTTCACATGGTATTTCTTCCATGTATGCAGAGAAAGATCTCTCGTGTCTCTTCCTCTTCTTATATGGATACCAGTCCTATTGGCCCCATCCTTATGGCCTCCTTTAACTTTAATTTTGTAAAGGCTCTATCTCCGAATACAGACACTTTGATGGTTAGGACTTCAACATATTAATTTTGAGAAAACACAATTCAGTTCAAAAAATAATCTGTACCGTTATGACCCATGATCATCTTTATCTTCTCCTCTATTTTGTCAGATATTAATATAGCTATACCAGCTTTTTTATGTTTGATGCTTGCATAAATAGCTTTTTCCATTCTCTTACCTTTGTCAGTGTGTTAATACTTAACACGCATCTCTTCTAAACACTGTTTTTCTGTGTCTTGCTTTTTAATTGTCTGACAAACTCTGCATTTCAATTTCAGTGCTTAGTCTTTTATTAATTAAATTATTGATGTAGTTTGCTTTAATTCTACCATCTTGCTACTTGTTTTATCTGTTCCCTCTATTCTTCATTCTTTTGTTTCTCCTTTCCTCTCTTAATTGAGTACTTTTTAGTATTCTGTTTTCTCTGTTGGCTTTTTAATCATACCTCTTTGTGTGTTTTTTTTGTTTTTAGTTTGTTTGTTGCAGAGACGAGTGAACATTTATTTTTGTACCTTTCTTCCTATGTGTATTTCAAGACTTTTTCAAAACAAGGTCCCAGGAATCTCCAGATTCACTTACGTCCCTGGGCTTGACTGACTGCTGCAGGAGTCTTAGTGAGCCTTGTACAAATGCTAGAGTTATTCATTTACCAACATTAAACCCTAGGATAGAAGATGCAACAAAAGCAGGTTTCCTTCGTCCATGGAATATGCTGATTTCAGATGAGGCAACAGCCAATGTAGAAAATGCTGTAATTTTTCCTTGGAACTGGACTGTGATGAGAGGTGCTTGCCATGAACATCGCTAGTCTTTTCTTTGACCCTTCCTTTCCAGTTTTTGAAGATAAAGCAGGAAATAATCTTCTCTGAAGATACTTGATAAAAATTCCCCCCCAAAAAACAAAAACACATGCTTCCACTTCACTGATAAAAATTTACTGCAGTTTGACACCTGGGTCTAGTTCAGCTGGCGGATGAGCTGATTGATGTGTTCACCCCATAGCCAGGTGTGCCCATCTCCTTGAGGAAGCCCACTCTATTTTTGGTAGCATGACAGGCCACTGAGAGGTGGAAAGGGCACAAGAACCATGAGATCTCCTGAAAGTGCTTCCCTGGGAAGGCAATTTCATGAATGAGGTCTTCCAAGCAAATGACACCAAACTTCAAACTTCCCTAGGTGCTCCTTAATCAGTGTTGTCTGTCAGAGGGATGGTCTTATTCTTGACCTTGGCTTGTCCACGTTTGAAAATGAGTTCCCGGACAGACTTCAGATTTGGAAATCCCTAGGTCACATAAGGTTCCACTATATGCAGCATTTTTAGGTTCTGGGGGGTGACTTTTACAAGACACCACTAAAAATTTTCTTTAGGCAAAGTCTTGCAATGGTTCTCTGCACCAGTAAACATGCCATCAATCCCTTCGATGCATACAACAAAGGCCAAGGAATGTTTATCTGGTGATTCCAAGGTATGAGGTTTCACTTCTAGTCGTCTGAGACACACCTTGTCACGTTTCTGCCTCCAGGAATCATGTAGAAATGATTCCAGTCACTTAAACCTGAGCCCTTTTCCTTTCCTCTGCTCCTTCTTTGCCAAAAGTGCCTGCTTTGCCTGGGTGGCTTCGAGGGCTTGATGAGCCTTCCTGTTTTCCAGGAGATTTTCTGGGACCAAAGGGATTTTTCTTTGCTCTTGCTCCACCATCTTTCTAGTGTTACAACTACCTGTACTTTTATCTTAGTAATTGCTTTAGAGGTTACAATAGGCATTCTTATCAGATTTTATCTTGAAATAATATACCATACACATAATCTGAGATACTTAACATAGTATAACCTCATTTACCTGCAATCCATCTCTTGTGTTATTATTGCCATATACATATTTCTGCAAGAATTATAAACTCCACAATACAATGTTATTATTTTTAAATGAAAATGTTAACTTTTGAATAATTCAAGAAAATAAAAATATAGGGTTATATTTATTCACGTTTCCCATATGCCATATTCTTCAATCCTTCCTGTAGATCCAGATTCTCCCTAGTAGCATCTCTCTTCAGCTTAAAGAACTTCCTTTAGCATTTAGTGTAGTACAAGTATGCTGTTGGAAAATTCTCTCTGCTTTTATGTTTAACTTAATATACCTTTATTTGTCTTCATTTCTGAAAGCTATCTTCACTGAATATTTAATTCAACATTGATAATATATTTCTTTCTGCAATTTAAAGATGTTATTCCATTGTCTTCTGGCTTTCAATTTTTATGATGAGAAACCAGCTATAATTCTTATCATTGTTCTCCTGTATATAATGTGCATTTTTATTTGGTTACTTTTAAGAATTTTTTCCAGTTTTTTTTTTTTTTAAGTTTTTTTTTTTAAGTTTTAAGTTAAGTTTTTTTTACTTTAAGTTCTAGGGTACATGTGCACAACATGCAGGTTTGTAACATATGTATACTTGTGCCATGTTGGTGTGCTGCACCCATCAACTCGTCAGCACCCATCAACTCGTCATTTACATCAGCTATAACTCCCAGTGCAATCCCTCCCCTCTCCCCGCTCCCCACAATAGGCCCCGGTGTGTGACGTTCCCCTTCCCGAGTCCAAGTGATCTCATTGTTCAGTTCCCACCTATGAGTGAGAACATGCGGTGTTTGGTTTTCTGTTCTTGCGATAGTTTGCTGAGAATGATGGTTTCCGGCTGCATCCAGGTCCCTACAAAGGACACAAATTCATCCTTTTTTATGGCTGCATAGTGTTCCATGGTGTATATGTGCCACATTTTCTTAATCCAGTCTGTCACTGATGGACATCTGAGTTGATTCCAAGTCTTTGCTATTGTGAATAGTGCCGCAATGAACATACGTGTGCATGTGTCTTTATAGCAGCATGATTTATAATCCTTTATATACCCAGTAATGGGATGGCTGGGTCATATGGTACTTCTAGTTCTAGATCCTTGAGGAATTGCCATACTGTTTTCTGTAATGGTTGAACTAGTTTACAATCCCATCAACAGTGTAAAAGTGTTCCTATTTCTCCACATCCTCTCCAGCACCTGTTGTTTCCTGACTTTTTAATGATTGCCATTCTAAG